TCCAAAAAGGACACTACCTATAGTTTTATAAGGTGCGTTGCTTTAACACAAAAGAATGTCAGATGTATTTTTTCATTTGACACTTGTGCCAATGACCCCAGCACACTGCAGCTTACTATTGCGAATGACTTAACAGGGTCTGCAAGTCCACCTTACAGTACAAGAGTACAAGGCAGTTCACTTTGTAAACAGACATTCAAATATAATTTTTGACGGGCACCTATAGCTGTACATGAAGTATCAAATTTTCAGGAAGAGCATCGACCACAAGTGCTAAGAAATATCTTATTTGTTAACATAGTTACGTTTCATGACGTATTTAACCTCTATTGGCAATAAGGTGTCAAATATAGACCACAGTCATTGCATCAACCCATACATCTTTATGGCCTGACCACAGTCCTAGTAGAGTAATAAACCTTCAAACTTGCCCCTTTGTGAACCTATTTCCCTCGTGTTTGACCAAAGCACTGGAGAAGACCCGGCACAGGGCTAATGCGGACCTAAAAACTTGCGTTCCCAAAAATCTAAATCGGGCCCACATAAAAAAAATCTACTATTAAATGTATTTTCTCTGGAAAACATTAATAAAATACCAATTTTCTACCAGTGTCAGGACTTGTCACGGCAACGTTTACTGCCAATGACAGTCCTGTATGTAATTGAAATAACCAGCAAAATAGCTATACTCTTTGGTTCTATTCGGTAAAGTCACGTAGGTAAAAAATAAAACAAAAATCACGACGTTTCGGCCACAACACAAGTGGCCTTCATCAGGTGTTGTGGCCGAAACGTCGTGATGATTGTTGTTTTATTTTTTACCTACGTGACTTTACCGAATAGAACTAAAGAGTATGGATCCTTGCAGTCACGAAAGCTTCAAATCTAGAAGCAAAATAGCTGATTTTAAGGGAACCACCCTCCTCACCGTAACCTAGATAATATTTGCATTTATAAAAATGTGCTCTCATGCCTCAGCAACTCAAAGCATCTAACGTCACATGTCATCTAAAACATTCGAAGAGCACCTCCAGTGGCAGCTGTCCCAGCGCGGTACAAAGTGACTGAAGTACTGGCTTGCAAGTGGTTATTAGCCTGTCAGCAGGGGCGATGATTGCTATGTGCAATTCCAATATTGTTGAATTATGGTGGTTAGTATGAAAAAATTGTACTACCAAGATTTTTGTTTTTCTTTCCTCATGTTTTTTTATTGTTAAAGTGTAACTTCTGTAATGGAAATGTTATTTTATATGTAATTTTGGAACCACGTGAGACTGTTCTGGCTGAAATTAGGCAGTACATGTGCTACTGAAGCTAGTACAGAAACGGATTCACAGCCTTGGCCCATGGGCTATTTGTGATCTGCTGACCTGACGAAATCTGTCCGCTTTGGAATTTTCTGGGACTCTATCTGGGGAAACTGCAGCTCGTGTGATTGAAGTATGGGGCCTCTTCTGGGGTGGAGGATGTGCAGTCGGTGGGGTTGGTGTTGTTTCGGCTGGCACGGGTGCTCACGTGGTTCAACTTGGATCATGAGCTAACCCTTGTGGAAATCAATAAAAGTCTCTAAAAGACACCATCAAATCCAACACATTCATCTGAAATAGCACACACTATACAAGCTAGGGAACCAACATCATCTGAACAAAAATGTCACTTTGAAAACAGGTAAGATTTATATAAAAAAGCTTATTTGAAAGGTCAATACAGTAGATAAAATGTGTTTATAGATTTACCAGGATTGTACTTTGCCCTCTCAGTCAACGGATAACGAATGTTACAAAGTAATGAGTGTTAGCGTGCAGCACAGGAGAGCCAAACATTTTTAAAGGGCAATTCTAAAATGCACTTTGTAAGAAGAGAGGTCAAACATAGCAGAAAATAAACTGTCCTCAAAGCTTTGTGTTTCCAGTAAAAGTTATATCTTGGCATGGCGTATGTTCATCATTAAACACTTTTAGCAATTACATCACCTCTCTGGCAGAAGTCAGGTAAGGCTAAAAGTCCTACATGCACAGGCACGTACTGAAAATGTTAAAGGCAAATAAGGAAGTGGGGCCCCAAAGCTTGCCATAACGTAAGGGGGCCGGTGGTGATTTACAGCCAACGTCAGTTGAGCGTGGACAATTAGACCCAAGGCGAAACATAACATATAAAAAAAATATTGTTTATTTTTATTTTTAATGATAGAATATAGTATTGTCATCAGTATGGCATAAGTATACCAAGTTTGCAGTCGATAGCACATTGGGAAGTGGGTTAAAATTGAGTTACAAGATTTGAGGATACAACAACAACAACAGACAGAGTGAATGAGTAAAAAAAAAGCGTGTAATAATAAAAAAGGTTCATCCCTGGTCACAACAAGCAATATGTGCGCAACTTATCTGTTGATGACATTGAGCCAGTCGGAAAAATTTCACATTGCGATGGCGACCACAGACTACTTTACCGCAAAGTGGTACTGATTGTATTGATCACATCACAGAGGGATGAAAATGAAAGTTTTACACTTTCAATATATTAGTTGCTGACAATTAACGATAAGAGTACTTTAATCCTCAAAGCCAAAACAAGTGTTGAAGATTTTAGCTGGGTCCTATTTGGATTGGATGGTAAACACGTTGAAAATATTTATTATAGGAATTAACTAAAGTGTAAAGAGAAATCCACATCCAGTATAAGATATACACAAATGTGTGTTGCCATGAACTTGGGCGGTCAGTTTAAATCAAGGCTTTATTATCTGCATGATACACCAAATCTCCCTGAAAAAATGGAAAATAAGAATATTTGGCCCATTTGAACTTCAAGTCTTGCAGTCTTAATTCACCATGTCTGTTACAGTAACTTCAACAACTTGTGTTTTTCTTCAGCAGCATCATCAGCCATGATCAATCTACTGCGGGATAAAGGTCTCTACAAGCCATCGCCACATTTCACAATCCTGTGATGTAGCAATACACCAGTACTGAACGTTTATTTACAACGTTCTTTTGTTTCTTTGCATTTAAACAAACATACATCACGACAATCAAAAGTTAGTGTTGGGTGAGAGAGTGCCACCACGGAAATTTGGAAGTTCCAGAACTGGTGTCAGTACTGCAAATGGAGATGAACACTGCCTAAATGTATAATTTGAGCTCAGAGTCGCTTTGACCTAAGTAATTAGATATCACATTGCAAAGGTGTCAATTTCAAACCCCACCCTTCCACTGGCAGCAGAGAATCTTCTTCACCAGCGAACATTCCCAAATGTAATCACCGCACAACTTGACTCATCCTCTCCAATGGACTTTTACTTATGCACACACGAGGTGGCGCTAAAACCTCATGCCCTTTGACCAGGTTGTCATCAATATTTTAGACCAAACAACCCCATCGTTGGTCTATGCTCGGGTTTGGCAAACAAGCGGCTCATGAAGAACCGCTTCGTCACTTATTTACCGAGGACCGTCTCGTATTCACATGCATTGCGCATAACCTGTCAACCCGTACAGGTTTACCCATATTCCTATATCGGGAGATTGAGTACATTTGTTTTCTATATTTGTTTTTCTCCCTTGTGGATGGGGTTTTTATGATGAACGTTGGATTTATAAGGGCACGGGGGTGATCGATAAGGTGTGAATTGGTCTGTAATAAGCGAGATACTGACAGATATGATTGTGGCTCTTGAATAGTTTTTTTTACTGAATTAGAAAAAAACGGCTCTTGTTATTTTGGTTTCTGGCCCCTGGTCTATACCATATTAAAATAAAACATAAAACTGTACTGTGTTTTTGTTTGTGTGGTCACTGGTTACTATTTTGCTCTTGGGGGCCCAGATTCAAACCCGGATCTTCGCAGCAGTGGTTCATTGCATGGACGGAGCACCGAGTCTCATTAGCCACCTGGCTACCCAAATTATAACCCATTGGTGGATTGTCAAAGCATTGCTGATAGTCGATTAATAAATCGCATCATCTAACCAAATTAGCATAGAGATGAATTGCTCTTTGTCAACAGTTTCTAAATTAGTTAGGTATGTTTTCCTTAAGTCTAATAAAGGGAGTTATAATTTAATGAGGGATTTCGGCCGATTGGGTCTAAATGCCCACGTTCCCCACTTCATAATTAAATCGCGAACACCAAGCAAAGTGGCTCAGTGGTGAACAACCAAATAGAACTAGTATGGATACGATAAACAACTATTTGGCTATTCACACATAAATAAAACATTGTTTTATCCACACAATTATTCTAGCACACATGACGTACACATTACATCCCCATATACATGCTCAAGTCATTGACAAATTCGATTTAACACACCCACAACATGTGAAAAGAATGCAATCCAGTACTGTATAACAACCACAACAGCCACCACTGAAGTTATAACGACGTCACCGCAGCGCTTGTGCCAGGCTAGGTGCACTTTGAAGCCACGTGTAGCATCGAACACTCGCTGGCAGAGATCCTGGTGTTACGCATTAACCGAGTTTAGCCAAAGCACAGAGACCAAACACGTGAACAGTGCTGACGTGTTTACATCGCACAAAGTGTTCATGTTCAGGCTGAGTCGCCATGTACACGAGCAAGCGTTGGTAACAGAAATAAAACCCCGGTGGTACTCCCTGAAACGCACAAGCACACACCGAATCTAAACGCACAATCGTTTATATTCACCCGCACAATGAACAGAGAATACAACATACACGTGGACACTCGCATATTTACAAGAAGAACGTGATTTTCCTTAAACAATGCTAGGATTAGTCGAAGCACACACATAGCACAGCGAGTGTAACGCCAAATAACAAAGCCCTGCTTACAATGCAGACCGCATTCACTTGCGGAAATCTTGCGCGAGCAACATTGCCAACATTACAACCACATCTCTCTCTATGTATTTTATCGTCACTGTTTCATAGATTCCTGTTTGCCCAGTCACAAAATTGTAGACATTCGCTTGTTCAACAACAACAATAATTACGAAAGCTCATGGTTCTTTATACCTTTGTTTGTGTATGGTGAGCAGGGAAAGAAAGGCAGGCGAGCCAGCTCCTCGCTGGAATCTTGAAATGAAGGCGGCAGCAGCGACACAAAACCACAACCCTCTGCCGCCTGGAGCGGATGTTATTATTCCGCTTATAGGATTATATAAAATATGAAATGCGTTCCAACTTAACTCTCCCGATGACCTGAAACGCACCCCCCAGGGAATTTAGAGTCGTCGCTGTTTTGTGAATGACTCGATTGATCAATGATTCCGCCACGTTGACTCGTAGTTGAAGCGTTATGGTTAATTGCCACTGGGGCGTGTGACGCTATCCTATCAATCGAATTAGCAGTGAAACATCCCATTACAATTAACTACCGTAATCACTAAATAGTTTCATTTTCAAGTTTCATTTTATTAGGTATAGCCCTGTGAGCCATACAGTGAATATAGCAACAAATTATTAATTTCTGTAACAACTTTACTTTGTACGTTTGTTCAATGTGTAAGATAGCAATCCTGCAGCACATGGATGAATACAGTACTGAAGAAATGTGGCTTTACTAGCACCTAGGGGTGGCCCAAATGTGGCTTTACTAGCACCTAGGGGTGGCCCAAATGTGGCTTTACTAGCACCTAGGGGTGGCCCAAATGTAGCTTTACTAGCACCTAGGGGTGGCCCAAATGTGGCTTTACTAGCACCTAGGGGTGGCCCAAATGTGGCTTTAGTAGCACCTAGGGGTGGCCCAAATGTGGCTTTACTAGCACCTAGGGGTGGCCCAAATGTGGCTTTACTCTCACCACCCGAGTAATTCGGCTGTTTGGTTTACCTTAACACTTCTCTGAATAACCCGTTTGACGATGCCGGGGTTAAAATGTCACCGACACCCTTTTGAATGCCATCTTTTTGCAAAGTTTAACAGTTGTAATGAACGATAAAAAAAACCCAAAAAGCAAAAAAATTGTTACTTGTGATTTCCTACAAAACAGAAGTCGTTTTATACACACTGGAGGCAACAGAGGCTGCAAGTCCAATCCTCGTTCAGGTCGTTCGCTCACATCATCTTACCGGATAAACAAACACGATTATCCTGATCAATCGTAAACACGACCAGCCCGAACAAGTCTACACATTCAGCGAATGTTCCTGGGTCTGATCATTCAATACCTTCACAACGACTGGCACACGAATAATTAATTGCATATCTGTGAACCCCTTAGCAGTGCCTACATTATTACAAATTCAGACCTTTTTGGTCACCCCGTGCCATTATAAATCTCAACGTTCATCCTGCGAAGTCCCATCGCAAGGGAGAAACACAAGCAAATAGACAAAAACATTTTGTTGCCCGCATTGAAATGGCTGTACGCCGTATGGACCTGAAAACTCAATTTCTCTGTACAATAATACAGGTAAATCGTATGGGTGTGAGTGGGAGCGTGGTGTATACCCGGCGCAAGTATAGTAGTGTTGTGTATAGTATTGTTGTGTATGGTGTAGTGTATAGCAGTGTCTAGTAGTGTTGTGTAAAGTAGTGTAGTGTATAGTAGTGTATAGTGTAGTATTGTCGTGTATAGTGTAGTGTATGGTAGTGTATACTGTATAGTAGTGCACAGTGTGTAGTATAGTAGTGTGTAGTGTATGGTAGTGTATACTGTATAGTAGTGCATAGTGTGTAGTGCTATAGTAGTGTATAGTGTAGTGTATGGTAGTGTATACTGTATAGTAGTGCAGTGTGTAGTATAGTAGTGTATAGTGTAGTGTATGGTAGTGTATACTGTATAGTAGTGCATAGTGTGTAGTGCTATAGTAGTGTATAGTGTAGTGTATGGTAGTATATACTGTATAGTAGTGCACAGTGTGTAGTATAGTAGTGTATAGTGTAGTGTATGGTAGTGTATACTGTATAGTAGTGCATAGTGTGTAGTGCTATAGTAGTGTATAGTGTAGTGTATGGTAGTGTATACTGTATAGTAGTGCACAGTGTGTAGTATAGTAGTGTATAGTGTAGTGTATGGTAGTGTATACTGTATAGTAGTGCACAGTGTGTAGTATAGTAGTGTATAGTGTAGTGTATGGTAGTGTATACTGTATAGTAGTGCACAGTGTGTAGTACTAAAGCAGTGTATAGTATATCTATGTAATTGTAAATCCACTACTGGATGGATGAGGCTCCTCCACTTTGTTGCGAGGACTATCAGTAGGGGGCAGTGCAGAAATATCCCAAATCCATTGTACTGCACTAATCTATGCTCCCCGCCCTTACCAATCCGTACTGACACAGCGTGGTTAAGTATGGATAGTATAAATTAAGTAACCACGTAAACACGTAAGCATCCTCGACAAATATTATCCATAATAAAGTGTTGTTTTGTTTACTCTCCAACACAACCGGTGTGCTAAAGTAACTAATTGGCACGTTTTGTTTACATGTCAACCCGTACTCGTTGGCCGTGTCGGGTGGTGGCGGGTCTAACGACACATTTATATTTACGACGCGATCTAACACACACACACAAAAAAAAACTCTTTATGGATAAGTAATCCACTAACGCGCCTCTTACAGTTTCTTCTTGCTCGAAGTCCCTTCACCAGCAGCGATGAAGTACACTCCACGCACTTCACTTGCAGGTGAAAATGCTGTGGTGCCACCGCAGCGAAGCCGCTCCGTCGGGGCCGTGCCCACCACCGTGACGCCGCCACCAACGAGCGACGGGGCCGACGCTACTCGTCCCTCGCCACCCCCACATGAACGCACGCATGCCCCCCACGTAGAGCCCCCACATGAACACACACATGCCCCCCACGTAGAGCCCCCACATGAACACACGCATGCCCCCCACGTAGAGCCCCGAGGGGAGGTCACCTGGCCGGCAGGTTTTCGCCCAGAAGCCCCTCGTGGGACCAAGCTTCACGGTTTCCTGCGACCAGGGAATTGGGCGACCTACCCCGAGGCTAACGCGCACCGCGGCGCCGTGACTTGGGTTGTAGTCACGTGGTCACGGCGGGGGCTGCTGAGCCACCGCGGACAGAGGGCACCCACACTCAACACGGGTCAGCAGGCAGATAGTGGGGCAGAATAGCGAGCGGCGGGAAAAACACGGGGGCCGTCCTCTCCGTGTAGGACGTGTGCGCTTGTGCGAAGGGGCAGAAAGCAGACGTCGGAGAAACCACTAATCCGGTCATCGAAAGAGCGGGAAATCCGAGGCCCCTGATTGGACGGGAGGCCAGGGTGGCGGGCAGCGCGGTGCCCTTTGATGTGAGGAAATTAAAAGGGGGTGAACCAGGGAGTGAAGGGAGCGGTGTTCTTCAAGGCATCGAGGTCAGCGGAGTGGTCGGCCAGCAGTTCGAATCGTCCGTGTGACGAGCCTCCAGGGCAGCCGGGCCTGGTTCTCCACGGAGACGAACGTACAGCATCGCCCTTCCACAGCTTCCGGCGCATCAGAGTGGGGAGCAAGAGTAAGTAATGGAGAGGTGAGTTTGGACTAATTAACCAGAGGGTAGAAAGTGGAGCGACAGGCAGGGTAAATTGAGTCCCAGATCACCGAGGGATAGCTTAGCGTCTGCTGACCCACACAAACACGCGGCGTTTAGTTAGTAGAGGGTAAACTGTGTCGCGTGGTCTTTGTGAGCGCCGAGAGGAGGGTGGTGGAGTGCCTTGTGTTGGCGTGCACGCGCGGCTGTTCACACGGCCTTTAAATCGGCTCAGAGGCGCCTCCTCCAATCGGCGGCGAGCGCGCCGGTGGACGCCCCTGCCTTCTGACCCCTGACCCCGAGTCCGTCGCGTGTGATTGGTGTACGAGCCGTGCAGGTAGCGACGTCGGGGTTGTTGGTGCCCTGGCACGTAGGTGGCACGTGTGTGTGTGTGAGAACAGATCCCGGGGGGCTAAGCCCCGGCCGGGGGCCACGCCTCGCACAGCGGCGGCGAAGGTGGGAGAGGCGCAGGGTGGCAACCCTCCCCCGAGCGTAGAGGAGGAGAGCCTCGGATCGCAAGGGAGTGGGGATTCGGGGGAGCAGCGGCCTTCACAACGCACATCACACTCTTTAACATTAGCAGAGCACGAGAAGCATCGTTTCAGTTTATTTATATTGGTATAGCCCTGTGAGCCATTCGGCTCTTGAATCGGGTGCAACCACAACAAGCAAAACAAAAACACGAACAAGAAAAACATCTTAAAGTGACTTTGTGTTGACTGTGCAAACAGAAAATCCATGACAAAAAAAAACAGCAAAAATATTCCTGAAAAAAGCACCGTACACCAACAACGCTGCTGTGTGCAAAAACAATCCCAGTGAGATGCAAGTCAAGAGACACACTCTGTGTGTGTCTGACTTGTATAGTAGTGCATAGTGCGTACACAGACACACTCGTGTGTGTCTGACTTGTATAGTAGTGCATAGTGCGTACAGAGACACTCTCGTGTGTGTGTCTGACTTGTATAGTAGTGCATAGTTCGTACAGAGACACTCGTGTGTGTGTCTGACTTGTATAGTAGTGCATAGTGCGTACAGAGACACTCGTGTGTGTGTCTGACTTGTATAGTAGTGCATAGTGCGTACAGAGACACACTCTGTGTCTGACTTGTATAGTAGTGCATAGTGCGTACAGAGACACACTCTGTGTCTGACTTGTATAGTAGTGCATAGTGCGTACAGAGACACTCGTGTGTGTGTCTGACTTGTATAGTAGTGCATAGTGCGTACAGAGACACACTCGTGTGTGTGTGTCTGACTTGTATAGTAGTGCATAGTGCGTACAGAGACACACTCGTGTGTGTCTGACTTGTATAGTAGTGCATAGTGGGTACAGAGACACACTCGTGTGTCTGACTTGTATAGTAGTGCATAGTGCGTACAGAGACACACTCTGTGTGTGTCTGACTTGTATAGTAGTGCATAGTGCGTACAGAGACACACTCGTGTGTGTGTCTGACTTGTATAGTAGTGCATAGTGCGTACAGAGACACTCGTGTGTGTGTCTGACTTGTATAGTAGTGCATAGTGCGTACAGAGACACTCGTGTGTGTGTCTGACTTGTATAGTAGTGCATAGTGCGTACAGAGACACTCGTGTGTGTGTCTGACTTGTATAGTAGTGCATAGTGCGTACAGAGACACACTCTGTGTGTCTGACTTGTATAGTAGTGCATAGTGCGTACAGAGACACACTCGTGTGTGTGTCTGACTTGTATAGTAGTGCATAGTGCGTACAGAGACACACTCGTGTGTGTGTCTGACTTGTATAGTAGTGCATAGTGCGTACAGAGACACACTCGTGTGTGTGTGTCTGACTTGTATAGTAGTGCATAG